GGCTTCTCAATAACAACATCACCAATTTTTAGAGAACTAGCAGCTCTTGACCCATCCAAAGTGGCCACAGTCCGGCTCACAACCACACTACTAGGACCAACCTCACCACCTTCTTGTGCAAACTGACACCCCGGCATCATCTCTAGGTCGAATTGGCACCCACATGCGTTGTGAACCACTCTTGGTACTATTGCTTGCCACGTTATTTTTTGGTGAATTGCTTCTTGCTGGCACTGTGAGCCTCTTCCTCTTAGGCAAATTATGATCACCACCGTGGATTACAATAGCATCACTTGTTCTAGCTTCTCGGCCTCTCTGGTTGTATAAACGTTCTCCACCAATGGGCACTGGTGCATTCCATCTTTGCTGAAAATGAGTCACTAGCACAGCAGGATATGGAGCCCAAGGATCACAACCCCATGAAGGAAACAGAGGATACACTGGAGGCGGATAACTCCAATGCATTGGCCCCATTGCGAAATAAGGTTGCTGTACATATGATTCTCCATGCCAATAACCTTGATCACCATAATTGTGTCCAGGAGGAGATCTAGGACGCTTAGCACCTCCAAGCCGACTAAACACGTTAGTGTTCTTTTGAGAAGTATATTTTTCTAATAACTGTTTAAACGTCGGCTTCGGTCTTGGTTTCAGAACTGGCTTCTTACCCTTATTAACCTTCCATACTCCCACTTCTGGATTTTTTTTTTGGCTTTATCATCCTTGGGGGCACACTATCATCAACAACAACACTTTTTCCTTCAGCGGATTCGGTCTGATGTGACCGAATGAGCATCTTCTTATTTGCAAACTCTGTCACATTGACAAGAAAAGGATCACTGTCAAGCTTCATCTTGCCACCGTCCTTGATTGTCAGCCGGCCATCATTAATCGCCGATTGTATCTGTCGATGAAACACATTATAATCGTTAGTAGCATGAGAAAAAGAATGATGCCATTTACAATAAGCCTTTCTACACAGCTCTTCGGCCGACGGAATCACACGTCCCTCTATCAATCTAATTTGTTTGCCTTGCAACAGTGTATCAAAAATTTTATCACAATTACTAACATCAAAAGTATACTTCATCTCTCCTCTTTTAGTAGGCGCAGGTTTCAAGGCAGTACACACAAAAGGTTTTGTTTTAGATGTGTGTACCCATTCGGCTACACATATGTCAGTATCTTCGTCACTAGCCGAATCTTTATCACTACAATCCACAGTATTAACTGTATGTTTTTCTTTATCTCTACTTTTGACATCTTTAAACCGGCTATATTGTTTAACTTCTTTAGCACGGTTTTCCTGAATCAAAGCTTTTTGTAACACCTGATTAATACCTAAAAACTCCTGGCCATCTAATTTCTCCTTAAGGTGGGCGAGCAAGCCTGAAAATGCAAGGTCTGCTAAATCTTTTTCGGCTATAGTTAAACTAAAACAACGATTCTTTACATCCCTGAACCTCCACCATATTTCTGCTTAACCATTGTTAAATCTGAAAGTCTAAGTTCAGTCTCACCACTATAAAAATAATCGTGGAATTTATGTTCTAATTGAGCCCATGTGATGATAGAACTAGGAGCAAGAGATGTAAACCAAGTGAAAGCATTACCAGATAATGATAAAGGAAATAATTTAACTCTAAAAATATCTGACTGTACCTCACTGCTTTGTGCTAAAAATTGTCCAACATGCTCAAATGTAGACCTACCATCCTCCCCAGTAAATTTAACAAATTCAGGAACTCTAAAACCCTGAGGGTATGGAGTTGTATCAAAATAATCAGGGTATGGTTTTTGATATGCTCGTGCTCTGCCCTTAGGTTCTAAACCAAACTCCCTAAGCACACTAGCCAATTGATCTCTGAAATTTGCAGAAGGTTGCATCGAATTAACTGGATGTGTAGGTGCAACATATGTTTGTAACGGTACTGCATCAACACATGCATTTGGTACCGGCCCACGAGGAACCCCGATACTCGCTTGCGGCAAAGGATGATTACTGTATGTGGATTGAAAATATGGATGCTGTAAATTAGAATTAAAACCAACACTACAGCTGTTGCTATTAAGGTTTTGTGGACTTAACACTGGAATAATAGAATTAGTAGTGCTAGTTGAAACACTAGGTACAGAACTACCAGCCGAAACAGCATTGGAATTTCGGCCATCTTGATTGACGTTTGGAAACGAAGGAGTTTGCAGAATACCAGCCGATGTACTGGATTGGAGTACTGTATCCGGCAAACTAGCCGAATTAACATTATCAGAAGACAATGGCTGTTTTTCGTGATGTCCATCATTAATTTGGCGCACTATAGAACGAATTTGACGAGGCAAACTATTCTCAAAATTTTGAAATTTATCAGACATAGATTGAGCAAATTCTCGTGACATGTGACTCATATCTGCACCATATTTACTAGCTACTGATATGTCAATTAAATGAGCAATTTCTTCGGCGGAAGTAGGTTTACTCACCTCAGGAATTATCTTTTTAACGACACCATTCCGTGTCTTTTGGTAGGCAGCGAGTAGTTTTTTCAACTCCTCGTCGTGTTGCCGCAGTACCTCCTGCCGTTGATCCTCAGATAAATCAAGCGTGACAGCGATGATGTTCTTTGGGTCAACAGCGCTTCCATCGCTCTTTTCTTCACCAGCCATGTCGCACTGTGAAACAATTGATTTCGGCCGATGAACAGGGCCGAAACTTCTCGTTCCCCAGTGGAGTCGCCAAATATGTTGGCACGCGGAATTGATCCGCGCAATAACACGATACTGACCGTGCTTACATGATGATCACCGGATGCTTTTCGAGCAAAGCAACAAAGATTCCTCACTTTCGTGGAGGAGAACCGACCGTTTTCCAGCGCAAAACGGCAAAGATCTAATAAACCCTAGAGCTTGGCAGTAGAGAGAAAAAGCACGGGAAAGAGAAAACGAAATAGATGAAAAACTAAATAAGTAGATTGATTTTGTTCGATTGGTCCCCTTCCAATCGGCCATGCACCTGATATATATATACAGGCATGCTCCGGTCTTTTAGCAAACATATACGGCAACGCATATACTACTCCTACCAAATACATAATCAAATCTAACAAAAGTTTATCTCTAACTCTACCAAAAACAAATACGTATGCCTTCACGGAAAGGAATAAGTTCACCTGAGGCCCCTTAATTTGTCAACAAATTCGATTTTCGTCCTCCAACCGAAAAACCAGATACAACGCGTCCCTCAACTGTCAAAACCAGTGCACATAAAGTCCCTCGGCGGTTTGGACGGTGGTTTTGGCTGACGTGGCGCCTACGTGGCTAATTTGACTCGGTCTTCATCTGACGTGGCATTTCGATCTAAGAAAATTAATAAACCTTGTGGGACCCACATGTCAGTTTCACACACAAATTAATTAAAAAATGGTGGGACCCGCGTGGACCCCACATAATTATTCTCACCCCTTCTCTTCTTCCTCCTCTTTCGGTCTCTCCCCATCTCTTCATCTCTCATTCCCTCTCCCCGCGACGGAGAGGGAGCGACGTGCGGCGGCGCCGACGGGAGAGGAGGGAGCGGCGCAGCCCTCTGCTGCAACCCGCGAGGCGCACGCCAAAGACGCATCGATCCTCGCCTTCACCAAGAAGCTCCGCGAGGCACACCACGTGCTCGACCGGCCGCCTTGTCGATGACTACGCCGACTACCACCGAGACCCCAAGCGCCCGCGCGGCGAAGCGGCGGCGGACGACCCCGAGCCGGTGTCAGACGGCGACTTCGGCGCGTCGCTGCACTCCAAGCTCAACTTGGACGACGTCGCTGCACTCCAAGCTCAATTTGCTGAAACAACAATTGATTTGATGGTCAAAGCTAAACTGTCAGGATCAATTCCCACTAGCAAGATGCAAATGAAGGGATAAACAACAATGTCTGAAAGGAATCATGCAGGTACAGTTAGCTGCTCCAAGTGGAAGCATGATTGTTAATTCGGTGAACGGTTATGAATTAATCATCCGGCCATCATTTTTTCTACAATCTGCAGTCATACGTTTGGAAAACGTTAGCCTGCAAAATATTCTGAAATAGATGCAAAAACAAGCAACTGATTAATGTCAAACGCCCTCTCCCTCGCCGAGCCCCTCTTCCGCGGCTACCACCCGCTCCCAAGGCAAAGGTGCTTCTCCCCGACCCCATCTTCTTCATCTTCCCACAACCTGCCCACACACGGGGTGGTGCTGTTGCACGTGCCGCTGCACGCGCCGCTACAGCAGTGGTTCCCGGTCGGGGACGACAGTGAACCGGTGGATGATCCCGGAGGCGGCGCTGGAGTTCCTCTGGTACGACGTCGACAGGGTGTTGCGCCCCCGCGGCCTGCTCTGGGTCGACCACCTCTGGAGCCAGTAGAGCCGCCGCCCCGCCGCCTACGACAATGACCCTGGAGATAGAGGGAGCGGAGGTCGGGGGAGGGAGAAGAGGTCGCCGGGGCCGTCGCTGAAGAGGCGGTTGGATCGGAGGGAGAACACCCGGAGGCTGGTTGCGGCAGAGGGCGTGCGCCGCTCCCTCCTCCCCTGTCGGCGCCGCCGCACGCCACTCCCTCTCCCTCATTCAGCAAATGAGGTTCCAGATTCATGTTCACAACCACAAAACAGGTGACGAAGGACTACAACAGCAACAGTCCAGTGGACCGCAAACGTAAAGCCAAGCACTTGAAAGATCATTGGGGAAAGATAAACAGGAAGGTTGTGCACTTCAATGGAATTTATTGCATACTGAAGGAGGTGTTTGTGTTTGTGAATGGCCAAAATAAGATCATCGATCAAATATTACTACACAAGATCGAACAGTGGTAGTTACTATACACAGGTTAGTAGATGCACCACGAACATTCAGTACTGAACATTAAATCCATTAACTAAACCATTCACAACAAACCACTGCCTATAGATAATTGCTCACAGCAAAAGGACATTGAAAGAGATTTCAGAAGCGAGACATCACAATGCAAAGCAAGTAAACGAACTAACAGATCCGGATGCATCATTAAACAGAAAGCAAGATACTTGTTATAATATCCTTTTCCTCTTCAGCACCAAACACAGATGGCACCATCTACTGAGATCTGAGATTTAAAACAGCAACAGATATGACTACTCACTTAGATTACAAACAGTGAGACAAAACAGTGACATGATAAGCTACTACAATATGCTGATACATTCAGCCTGAGCCTACCATTAACGAGCATTCAGCACTTCCAAAAGATTCTCCGTTTCATGCTCTTTGAAAACCTGCATTATTCCAATCCAATTAGTGTCCAGTTATAAATTTTCAGGCAGAAAGAATGTTGCATGGCATGAAGTATTGCACTAAGGTGTAGAATTTGTAATTTCATTGTAACATTTTGTAATCAAATACATCAAGTTTCACAGATTTTACTAAGGTGTGTATAAAACTACTACCGTACTAGTGTTAACAAGCTGTATGCAGATTTTAGCACAGCTTACCTATGCCAGATGAGGAAACTGGTAGTTCGCATATCCGACCCCCAGGTCAGATTGCTCCTCAATCATTTTGTCGAACTCTTCCCTCAGAACTCTCTCCAATTCAATCTTCTTCTTCTCCAGGACGGATTTCTTCACCTCCAAAAGACGGAGATTAGTATTCCAAACTGCCCTCTGAGCACGCTTGTCACGAGCAACTGCGGCATTTCTCTGTGCATCATTTGCGTATGCTGCTTGATATGGGACTCGTTGGTTTGCACTACCGAACTCATAATCAGGATCGTCTGGGAACTAAGAAAAAAAATATATTCAGAAAAAAATGAGAAAAACACAATAAAAGAAGAAAACGAAAATAAACATACTGGGGGGTTCCGGGTAGAGCATGAGTTGCACTCCACGATTCCTTTGATCAACTTCGGGTCCCCTATGTGGGATCTGGTCGTCTGTGGAAAGAATGAGGTTCTTCAGCTGCGCAATGCGGGCTTCCAGTGGTAATAGCTCCTGATCACATTGCACCATGCATGCGTTGAACATGGTCTTGTAGCACACATCTAGCTTGACCTTGGCTTTAAACTTACAATTCAACAACTCAGGGTTAACCAATTTAAAGCCATGCCTTCCAGGTCGAGTAATCACCTTTATTTCTGTTGCTTCTTTAAGGGATGTCTGCTCATGCAAGCAAAATTGAACTTGATGTGCTTGACCAATCGCATTGATGCCCATCTCTTGCAGGACACCGTTGACCTCATCGAGGCTAGCGACGGTTCTGATGCTATTCATGGTGACGGATGACAGGATATCCTGTATAAGCAACAATTTATTTAATTTTACTGATTTATTATAGCAGCTAAAAACCAGTAGAAGACAGACTAATCCAATTCAGTACAATCAGATAACTGAACTGTTAGTTAGAAAAAAGTACAGATTTCAAATCAAGAATTTCACAGGTGATACATCTACACGAACAACCACAAATCAAAACACAATGCGCGATCTACCTAAGTGGCATGAAAAAAAATGTATATTCAGCACTCTATCCTCAAATTCACAGAATATCAGATCATTGTATCCTCAAATTCAGATCAACACATGGCCAACAGCATTGCAAATGATGGCCACCAGCTTTCAGTTAATCTCAAATAGAAGAGCAGCTAGTTCAACCAACACAGTTTCAGATTATATATGTGTGTTTATTTAAAATCCAAGATATATACAACTTATCATATTACAAGTTGCAGAAGTACAAATTATGCCCAGAATTTTCTTTATTACAGATTCCTAAAATTCAATGAGTTACAGTTAACTTCTCAGGATAATCATCACAAAGAACTAATAATCTAAAACATGATATTCGTTAAAAAAAATCATTCAGTGTCAGAAGTAAAACTGAAAGTGGCAAAGAAGGCTTTTGATACAAAGAGGGACTAGCAAGAATAACAATGCCTTGAAACAATATTCGTTCCTCTGGATATACTTCTTATTTAAGAGAATCCTATTCTTATTTAAGAGAATCCTATGATCAGAGATACAAGCTTATACATTATATTCAATGTCTAATCTAATCCCAATAGCTCTTTCCAAGTTTGTACTGTGAATCGGCAAACTAATAAACAATCCCTAGCTGGATTAACAATTTCAACATGTGATCAAGATTTGTTTCACTCAGATGTTAGCAGAGCAATCTAATCAGCTGCACCGAAACCAAGAACAGGAATACAAATGCCTGTAGCAAAGAAAGCAAACCTTAGTTACACAAGAAAGGAATTAGTTGCACAAATAGGGCCAATTTCTGGCTCTCCACAAGCAAATGTTTGCTAAATAACCACTTGAAGATGGTGTTCCTACCAAAATTGAAACCGCAGCCAGTACATGTAAATAAGAAAACATTGCAAGAACATACATCTCATCTGGAATTGCAAGATTTCAACACCAATTATCTACACAACAACTTCCATACCGAAACCCTAGGTGCTAAGAGAGGAGGAGGACCTTCTTGGCGGCAGCGCAGAAACCGACGTGCAGAGAAGGGGCTGCGGATCTCAGACGGGAGGCGGAGGCGACGGAGGAAGGCGGCGCGGTGCCGGATCTTGACCGGGAGGCGGAGGACCGGCAGCTGGTGGAGGCGTACGACGCGCCGGCGGACGGGGTGGCGCGACCTGGACGGAGGATGGGGATGGGGACGGGGACGGGGGACGCGGCGGCGGCGGTGGCGGCGGCGGAGGCGCTCGCGACGGGGAGGGGGAGGCGGAGGCGGAGGCGGATGCTAGGGTTTGAGAGAGGGCGGAGGCGGCGTCGCGTCGAGGAGACTAAACACACCAGCGTATTTATACGGCGGGGCCACTGGACCAGTGGGGAGCGGGGCCTCCGGTTGGGGTGGGCTGCGCTAGCTTGATTTTCAATGGGGAATAAGTTCATTGGTGGTCCCTTAACTTTACAACGAATCCGATTTTCGCCCTTAACCGAAAAACCAGATACAATCGGTCCTTGAACGGTCAAAACTGATGCAAACGAGGTCCCTCGATGGTTTGGAAGGCAGTTTTAGCTTACGTGGCGCCAATGTGGCTGGTTTGATTTGTTCTTCATCCCACGTGGCGCTTACGTAGCAATTCGATCCGAAAAAATAATAAAAACCATGACCGCACTGGTCAGCTACACAAAAAAAAATTAATTAAAAATAGTGGGGCTAACCTCCCTTCTTCCCTCTTCTCTTCTTCCTCATCCTCACTCCTTTCTTCTTCTCTCTCCCTCTCTTCTTTCCTCTCCCCTCTCTTCATCTTCTCTTCCTGCAGGCGAGCGAGGCCGGCGGCGACCTCGGCGAGGCAGCGCCCTCGGCGAACTTGGCGAGGCGGCGACCTCACGCGCCACCGCCGCACTCCACCTCTGAGCCGCCGCCTTCCTCTCCCCTCCTCCCCCGCCCTGGTGTTGCGTTGATGGGGTCGTTGTCAGGGGCGGGCCCACAGTTATTCATGGGTATTCAAATGAATACCCAAGATTTTTGCAGAAAAAATACATATATGAAGTATATATTTCATATTTGTGTGTGTGTGTGACTGAACTCACCCTCCCACCATTTTTCTCTCCTCACCATTTCAGCCCACTGGCCCAATAGGAAAAGAAGGCCCAAAATGGATTGGAACCCTATCCTCATCTCCCTTTCCTCCCAACCCTCTCCAGCAGCCAGCACCCAGCCGCCAGCCGCAAGGCAGCCAGGGAGAGGAAGCCCGCGGCGCTGCGCTAGGCCGCCAGCGCCAGTTGCCTCGCCGTCGCCGGTCGGCGGTCGCCCTGCGCCCGCCCGGCGCCCGACCGCCTGTCGTTCTCCGGCCCGCCCCGTCGCCCGTCGGCCATCACCCCGTCCCCTTGCGCACGGCTGTGCGGCCCGCCGTGCACTCGCCGACTCGCGATCTCACGCCGTGCCGCCGCCTGCCGTCGCCCGTCCGGCCGTCCCGGCGTCCCGCCTCGTCGCCTCCCTGGTCCAGCGACACGCCGACGCCAGAATACCATGCCACGGCGCCGCGCCAGCCCGCCACCGCCACTGGCCGCCAGCGCGCTGATGGTAAGTTGTCTTGGAGTAATGGAGTACCATAGGAACTTACTACTTCTACATTACCAGTTTACCACATATAAATAGCAATAATAACTAAGTTTTCCCTTCATGTCTAGTCACCTAGATGTCATATGGTTAGGATTTAGGAAGTAGGAACATTTTGGATTAGGAAATAGGAATATAGGATATTAGGATTTAATTCATAGTTGAATCTAGCCTCTAGGATATTGTTCATGGTTAAACATTTTTTATTTAGAATTTGATCCATTAATGATTCATGGTTGAATATAGTATATTGTTGTATTGTAGGATAAAGACATCATCAATCATTTTCAAAATATCAATAAACGAAAAGTTCTTCTCTAAATTGTGAGATTTTTTATCATTTTATCATTTTGTATGCTCCATAAATTTGAAATGTTTTGTTAATTAATAGTTTAGTATTGTACTTTAATATGCTTAACGCATTCAATTTATGGTCAATTCTATCCGTCCCGACCGCCCTCCGGCTGGACCTGGAGATGGTGAAGGCGGCGGCGCCACCCGGTTGCGCGGCGGCGGCGCACTCCTTGGCGTCATCGACTCTCTCAGAGGCATCCAACTCGTCGTCGCCACCTCGTCAGTGGCGTCGCTGCCGCTTAACTCCTCCACGACACGTCGTCGTCGGCTCGCGGTGCCCCGTCCCCATCAAGAGCTATTCGTTGCCGGCACCCGTAAGCAGCGTGTTCAGGGAGTTCCGCGACGCGGCGCCGTCTCCCGGAAGACGAGGACGGATTCGACGACGACTCTTTCCTTGCCGTCGATGATGGCGTGGCCGACAGCATCGATAGCATCATGGCCATACATCCATACATCAGAAGCCTCATGGTGCTCGGTCTTGGGTACATCTGGTACTCACTCGCAGTGAAAAATGCAGGAGTCGTCGTCGGTGCAGTATATTCTGCAGCAGTAGATGGCGGCGTCGGGCGACTACCGGCTGCTGCAGTCGGTGCGGAACGTGTACGCCATGGGCAAGGTGCGGATGGTGGCGTCCGAGTTAAATTTCGGTCATTTCGGTGACCCCCGATACGATATTAATTCGGCCGAAATTTTTGAATTTTTCAATTTTTTTCATGAATTTGGATAATATTTGTTCAAATTCAACTAAATTTTGTTCAAAATTTCGGAAATTTCGGACCGAAATTTCCGAAATTTCCGAAATTTCGGGATTTCGGTGACCCCCGATATGAACCTCCGAACCGATAGAGTGAACCCTGGCAGGGAGGCTTCGTCCTCTGGCAGATGGCGCCCGACATGTGGTACGTCGAGCTCCCCGTCGGCGGCAGCAAGGTGCACGTGGGATCCAACGAAGGTCTCATCTGGCACCACACACCGTGGCTCGGCGCCCACGCCGCCAAGGGCCCAGTGCGCCTGCTCCGCCGCGTGCCCGCGTCCTCCAGGTCCGAACATCTCACGTTCTCAACCTCACCCCCGGGACCGGTGGCGGCGAGGGCGGGGGAGGAGGGGAGAGGAAGGCGGTGGCTCGGAGGTGGAGTTCGGCGGTGGCGCGAGAGGTCGCCGCCTCGCCAAGGTCGCCGAGGTCGTCGCCGGCCTCGCTCGCCTGCAGGAAGAGAAGATGGATAGGGGAGAGGAAAGAAGAGAGGGAGAGAGAAGAAGAGATGTTCCCTCGACGAGGTTGGTGTTGCTGCCGAACTGGCATCCGCCAACGAGAAGCTCAAAAGCATGTTGACAAAATGAGCAAGTGCCCTGATTTCAAAGGGTTTCATCGCATAGCTGATGCAGAAATCCAGAAGCGTTTTCTCTGGTTTCATTAGTGTTGCCAGAAATACAGAATAAACAGCTCATAGTTTGAACAGCCCGGCACTGTGGGGTGTCAAACGATGGCATTATCATCTCAATTATAGTTTCTGCCCTTGTTTTGAAAATGGTTATAAGCGTTTCTCGTTTTTAAACTGACCAAAAAAAAAAAAAGATACATGCCATTGTGCAAGAAACAACAGGAAAAAGCGGCTCAATGCACACAAGTATATAGCAGAATTTTATATTTATAACATACACCAGTAGCAGAGCATACTACAACATAGCCTGCATTGTTGTATTTAGCTGTTCCACAAACCACAACCTTCTTACATGATAATATTAATGATACAAACACCTGATATCAAGTCAGTCTGTGAGCCTGATGCTCTAGTTCTAGATGTAGTAATTCAAGCACACGAAAGAGCTTAGTAGTAGTAAATGGAAGCAGCAGAACAGTCAGCAAATTCACTTGCCATTACACAACGCTTATACAACTTCAAGAATTCAGACAGGTCCTAAACAACACATGCACTGCCACACATCAAGTTCCTGCAGTAAAAAAAAAAAAGGTTACATCAGCCATTGCATAATTCATGCTCTAAACTTAAGGCTTTGTTTGAGAGAAGAGAAGATTGGAAGATTGAGAAGAAACGCAAAACAAGGTGAGCCATTACCATATGATTAATTCAGTATTAACTATTTTAAATTTCAAAAATGGATTCATATGATTTTTTAAAGCAACTTTCCTATAAAAACTTTTTACAAAAAATACACCATTTAGTAGTTCGAGAAGCGTGCGTTTAGAAAACGAAACAAACTTTCTTTCTTTCTGCTTGTGCCGAACGCAGTTTCATTCACAAAGTAGAAAAGTTCTTTTTAACTCCTATGATGCGCACTCATGTTTTCTAGGCACAACATTATAATAGCCAGCCCATGATTACAAGATCCAACCATGTAATTCTAAGCTTTTTTGAGGTGCGCTGTTACTTTAACGAGCAGCCGGTGCTTCGCCTTGTCTTCTTCCTCGCCATTGTCGTCTCCCCCCTTCTCCGAGGAGGCTCAAGGACCACCTTGATGGCAGTATCAAACAGGGCCTTGATGTTCTAGCATGGCCAACAACATTATCATATCTCAACATAAATGGTTCATTAAAGCAACAGTGTCCAACTTGAATTGCTACAGTATATAGCAAGGAACTCTTCAAACTATGACAGAACTAATCGATTGAATCCATTGTTTGCAGTTTTGTACCTGCTGTGTTTTTGAACTGCATTAAATGTAAGCCGCGTCGCCTATCTGCTTTCTAAGTTCTTCACCCTGAGCATAAACTTAAAACGGTCATCGAATTCGCCAATAAATGTGTTTTCATGTTGAACAGAAGATTCGGTAAATAAAAGAACAAACCTGTGCAGTCGTAATTGAGGAAGCAGCAGGATGGTCCGCAAGGTAAGATTTGTGGTCACGTAGATCTGAACAATTGCAACCAAGCACGGTTAGAACTTAAGAGCATTGAAACAAGCCTGCAAAAGAAAGTGGCACTGAGCTTTATTGAGTTAATGTTGCATCCGGTACAGACCTAACTTAGTCCCAACAAGAACAATTGGAGCATTCGGTGCGAACCGGCGAAGCTCCGGCATCCCCTGCATGATCAGAAACAGAAAAAGATAACATTAGCTCAGAATATTCCAGTGAAAATCATATGCACATAGTATATATCTGTAAAGAAGAAAAATGTGAAGAATATTGGTCAAAGGTGGTCGAAAAATGTCATTGTCACAAGGAAAGGTAAAGTTTTTGGTACAGTATCCGTGGTCACTATCCTCATGTTGTCAGATATTCAGACATTTTGAGTCCAAACTGAACTAAATGGAGTACTGGTACCTACTACCTCCGTCCCAAAATAAATGCAGCAATGAAAATCCGTGTCCAACGTTTGACCGTCCGT